AAAACAGCCGATTAGGAGATATTATCGTTAAATTTGCAAAGGTAATACTAACAATTTTGACTTCATAGGTTGAATGACTCGCGCGGCAGTGGCGCAAAAAATATGAATATTCATGCTATCGAGCGCCGATCGCTCGAAATTGCTGAATATGCACGACTCGAACAAACAAAGCGGTGAATGTAAACACCCTCGGCTTTCTCAACCTCGTGCATATTCAGCGATTTCGAGCGATCGGCGCTCGATAGCATGAATATTCATATTTTTTGCGCCACTGCCGCGCGTGCGTACCTTCTCTTCGCTATTTTTCATCGACGCTGCAACATGGAAGAATCGTTGGTGTAGGAAACCGAATAACCCTTTTTCCCCATCGAAGACTTCTTCAAAATTATAAATTCAAGTGATTGGTGTTATGCCCTGAGGAGTCGTGCAACCTATGAAGTCAAAATTGTAAGTACTCCCTTTGCAGATTTAACGATAATATCGCCTAATCGGCTGTTTTACTAACCCCACGATAGGCCAGCTGAAGCTAAAACTGAAGTGTTGGAGCTTCCTGGAGTTACTACTACACAATAGTTTTGTTCACGAACATTACTCCCGGCCTACTGAAAAACAGAATAACGAAAACTAAAAGGAGAAAAACGTAAAACACTGACCAAACATTTTATGTAAGGCTTGAAGGTACAGGGCCTGGCCTAAAAAGACTGAGCAAATGAGAATAATATTCAAGCAATATGAATTTTTTTCCCCTACGCCTCTTTGTATGCACTACAAATAGGATTATATGAAACTTAACTAATTTGTATTTAGCGTAATTAGGGACATATATCTTTCCACTTTAACATACAAAACAACTGATGACTTAGAATTTATCAATTTTAAATTGCAAATAGGATATAAATAATGATGTGGATTCGAAATACGTCCAAGTTACTCCATAAAACGAAAGCCGGAATGTAGGAATTTTATCTTACCTCTTTGACACATAATGCCATCAATGACCAGGACCATGGCAAATAAAAATTGCAGATACGATGATTTCATGATTGAGGTGGATTCGAAATACGTCCAAGGCGTTCAATGAATCGAAAACGAAATGCAGTTCAATCGCCACTGCAGTGATTTTGTGCAAAGCCGTGGTCAATGAAACGTGAAAATGCTGTGAAAAGTCTAGTTCGTTCACAAATCCACGAAGGGAAAGTTTCCTGGATATAAAGGGGATCAAGAAACTAAAAAGCAGATTGGTCCTTTCACATTTAAGTACCTCCCCACAACTGTGATGGTTTTGTGTTGATATCATCAAATGGCATAGTTAACAGAGAAACTTAGTCAATCATAAACAGATCATATATCATGGTAAAAGAAGGACAACGTCTTAAGCACTACAATACAGGAACCGACGATATAATCTGATGACAAATTACTTTTCTTTTAGTTTCGTAATGTCATGATTGTCACTTACACATCTGAAAACAATACTCTGGACTAGATATAAACAGTTGGTATATACAAACAATGTTTAGGGAGTTGTGTAAATTGTAAATTGTGGAGATATCATATACACTTATGGACTGAAAGGCCTCAGCCCACTTTAAATGAACATGTTTGATTCAATTTTTTAGTTCTGTTTACGTTATAGATTTAAATGATATACAGGTACCAAGAAAAGAATAACTGATTGAAATACTAAATATATCAAAGCCCATGACACTGCATGATTACCGAAAGTCAGTTAGTCTGCTGTCTCGATAGCGTAAACACACTTGATTATCATGATTGGTAAGTCGCACATGTATTCTATGACCCTTTTCGGTATATATAAGTATTAATGACTGCTTTAATTTTCGAGACATAGTTTATATATATAGGATTTTATTGAAATCAAAACATAAAAAATCAAGAGCAAACATTCCAAAGACTGACAACTGTCTCGGTTACAAAAATACAATTTAAATCAAATATACATAATAAAATAGCGGTAATAAGTAAATACATAAGTTACATAAGTTAAAATATCAAATAACTAAACTATTATCAGTAAATATTGCAAAAAGGACATATAAACAATAAATATACATCATTACAATTACATCAAAACAGGGCTCTCGAGCTGTGCAATAACTTAATCTGGCACAGACCGAGAGTCCAATAAAAAGAAATTTAAAATGCATAAGACTGGGTTTAAAAAGATCAATGGTGAAAAGAGGATAATATGTCAGCTAAAGAATATATTTGTTTCAATTTAAAGTATTGAGATGTTACAAGTAACATACAATAAAGAAATTCCCAAGATAGCATAGAAAGAGAAGAGAGTAAGATAGAGAAAGAGAGAGGGAGAAAATGAGAAAGGAGAAGAGCAAGAGAGAAAGAGAGAAAGAGAGAAGGAAGAGGATAGGAAGAAAGTTAGGGAAATATCAATACCATCTGTAGAATCTGTAAAATCAGTCCAGGTATTCAACATTGTAGACATCATTGCAATTAACCCGAAATACATGTAACATACAATAAAGAAATTCCCAAGAGAGCAGAGAGAAAGAAAAGAGTAAGATAGAGGGAGAGAGGGAAGAAAAGAAAAGGAGAAAGAGAGAGAGAGAGAGAGAGAGAGAGAGAGAGAAGGAAGGGGATATGAAGAAAGTTAGGGAAATATCAATACCAACTGTAGACTCGGTAAAAACAGTCCAAGTATCCAAACCCCCCTCCTTGAGCGCCAGAGGAGGTGCCCATTTCCCCTAAAAGGTAAAATTAACGTGTTTTTACACGTTTTTCCCTAGGGGAAGGGGCCCAGGCCCCGGGCCCCTTGGATCCGCCACTGAATCCCCCCAGCCAGCTTATGGATATGACAGTTTGACACTGTGTGTCTTCCTAATCTGAGATTGATTAAACAGGCATTTTTATGGCAACTGATAGGATGTAGAATGTTCATTACATTTTTAATCAAATCTATGATCCGATGTATATAAGTCTTTTAGAAATACTGTAATATTTTATCGTTATGATTGTATTTCATTCCCTGTAGTTTGTTTAATTGTTATTCGAATCGGAATTTTCTCCTAATATTGTACAGTTAATTATCACAATGGCATTATTTGAATAAACTTTCACTCAGTGACACTAATTTCAGAGACTTTGAAAACATTATCAGTAAGAGATCGGTGCATAAACAATGCCTTTTGAAATGCTAAAATATGTTGATTTTCTTTTTGAATGATTACTACACCACCTGAATTATTGATGATCAAATATTCGTTGTGTATACTTTTCCTTCACACAGACCGCTTGTTTCCCTTTTGTTGTGTACTAAATTATGTTCTGTACCTACCTATATATTATAAATTTATTCCTGGAGACCAGCCCTTGACAGGTCAATGGCCTTTGTTGGCTCCACCACAGTCTCAAGTATAAGTTCTAGGTGCTTAAAATTCTTTTGATATTGTTATGCTATTTTCTTGTTATGTTTTGTTGTGTTTAATCAGATATTGTATGTAAATTGTTTTTTGTTTTTTTTTATGAGAAGTGAAAATAAATGAAATGAAAAGAAAGGAAAATGCTACTAGAAACCGTTGAAAAACATTGGGGGGGGGGCCCTCGAAAATTTTAAAAATCGCACCCCCCACCTTCCCCCTTGAGCGCTAGGGGTGGGGCCCATCTCCCCAAAAAGATAATTTCCCTAGGGGAAGGGGCCCAGACCCCCGGGCCCCCTGGATCCGCCACTGAACCCCCCCCCCCCAGCCAGCTTATGGATATGACAGTTTGACACTGTGTGTCTTCCTAATCTGAGATTGATTAAACATGCATTGTTATGGCAACTAATAGGATGTAGAATGTTAATGACATTTGTAATCAAATCTATGATCCGATGTATATAAGTCTTTTAGAAATACTGTAATATGTTATCGTTATGATTGTATATCACTCCTTGCAGTTCGTTTAATTGTTATTCGAAAAGCAATTTTCTCCTAATATTGTACAGTTAATTATCACAATGGCATTATTTGAATAAACTTTTACTCAGTGACACTAATTTCAAAGACTTTGAAAGCATTATCAGTTAGAGATCGATGTGCATTCATCCTCTTTATTTATATCATCTTGTATTATATCAAGATCGCTCATGAGTTGCTAGAGGAGACCAATAAAAAGTACACTCATATCTCAGTCACACCGTCAAACCGGTTCCACATCATCGGACCCTAAACAAACCATTGGGGGGGGGGGATATAATATTATGTTCGTTCGGGTGTCGGTCTGGTGTCGGGCCCACAGGTGTGACTGGGATATCACAAAGAAGCAAGCAAAACATATATTTAGGCGAGGCGTCAAAAATATCGATACCAGCAGGCTGCCGCCTCACGTATTGGCGCATCGAGGCTGCAATTACGGCCGAAGCCTGGCTGGGGCAATTATTTTTCACTTATTAACCCAGCCGGCTTGCGACAGGCTGGGATCTGAGGCTCGGTTTCCATTCGAAAGGCGGCAGCCGGCGCATGCTTTTGAATGCCATTTCCTACCGCCAGCGGTAGCCGGCTGAGCTAATTTAAAAAATGCAGCCAGGACGCACAAGTGCAGTCAGCTGCCGCTGGCTGGTATATTTATTTTTGACGCCTCGCCTTAGGTTAAATGACTTACGCAATAAACAGTGTATTTACACACTAAGAAATAAAGGTGCAATTGGGGCGCAGAATTGCATCCACCTACGCGTACTTGGCAGAAGGTGCTGCTATTGTAGCAGAATTTCACCCTTATTTCTTAGTGTGTAGATTTAAAAACAATAGTACTGATAACAATGATAATCTACTTCTATATCTTAGTATCATATGTGTTGTCCCGTATACACCGTTGTAAATATAAAGTTTCTCAACATGCTCATCATATATGGAAATAAAGCAAATTACAAACCACAATGTGTCTCTTAACTAAACTGCTTGTATATAAGAAATGTTACTATTTAGGCTTCTAATGTGACAGAATGAAAAAAGGGAAAACTAAAGAGAGATAGAGAGAAAGACAGAGAGAGGGGAGAGAGATAACGAAATAGAGAGAAAGAGAGGGAGGCAGATGGTTGAGGAAAGTGTGCGCTCGACCACCTTCTTGCTCAATATTTTACATGTTCAAAGTCATAATATACAAATGTTCTGAATTTCGAATAATTTTGGGGCATCTTACAACAAATAAATCCCCCATTTCATCACTCATTTATAATGTCTGTGAAGGCGATTATTGCCAAAAAACTGCTTGCTTATCCGTGTGTGCAACATTTAGTTTGATCTTGTGATTTTTGTGGATGTGGGGGTTCTAAAGTCTAAAACACTATCATATCATATACATACTCAAACCTTTTCTAAAAACATTGACTAGTTTATTTTAAAATTAAACGTTCCCTTTCTGTTCTAAGCTTCACCTTTAAGGAGTGCTGTTAAGATGAAGCTTTCCATACGAGTCACTGTTATCATGATTACTGCTCGGATGAGATTGGAGTTTAGCACCTAGAGACCTCTGAAGGTGTGAGAACTCCTCGGCTTGGGTGTCAGGTTGTTGTTGGTATCCAGGATTGTCCAAGGTCTGGTAGTCATTCTTCAGATCTTCAGCGGGCCCAATAGGTGTCTGGTAATCATCGTCATCGTAAGAAACAAGGTTTCTGGTCTTCGGTTGGTTAATTGGTAGAGCCTCTGTGGGTCTGATCGAATCCTCAAAGTCAGATGTGGTCTATGGTTTGCCATTTGGAGATTCGTAATCCGCATCTGTTTCATTCATGGGCTTCAAGGTACCATACCCTGCAGAGGGTGGCTGTCCAACCGTATTGATGCTTCGCTGAAGCATGTCATATTGCTTGTCTGAAGCAGGTCCTGAAACATCCGAAGTGCCTGTCACTGATTGGTCGTTTTGCTCTAAGGTAGCATACTCGGGACTAGGTTCCAGGGTAGCGTACTCAGGCGTGGTGGTCTGGAGTGCTTGGTATCCATTCTCCATTGCGGGTGTGTCCTTTGAGGGTAGTTGATTTGGCATTTCACCATTTGGATGACTACCACTGACGCTCCCATCGTCCTGACGTAGATCCTGGTAAGCGTGAAGGTCGCCCGCCACTCCATGCCTATGTCCTGTCACTCCCGGTGACCTATTCACAGCAGCGACTGCACGTGTTCCATCTTGCCAGAGTTCCTGATATGGACCAGATCCACTGGCCGTGGTCCTATCAACAGATGTCCTTTCTTGGGGACGATCTGGGACGTTGTACTCGTGATAGTCATCTCTTTCCTTGCCGCCGAATAAGGTGTTGTAGTCCTGCTCTCCAATCTCATTGTAGACCACTGTATTCTCATTCTGATTGACTGTGCTCCTGATGTTCAAAGCAATAGTCCCATCCCCTTCTGAAGCCTGTTTGTTCCTTTTAAAGAGAATTGAAAGGGCTTTGGTGAGGAACTTAATGACTGGGTTGAGAATTTGTATTATTATTAGGTCTCTTGTTATAATTGTTATTATTGTTTGGCCTCACCTGTTGATTGAAAAAGAGAAGCTAATGCTATTTCCAAGACTTTCCGCAGTATACCTTCTGCATTTTATGAACTTGTACCTGTATAAAAAAAAGGACCCTTTTCTCTTTTTTCTCTGGTACCAGACTACTTACATTACGTTGACAACGATTAAATTCATTCAATTCAGGTTTTATTGTAAATAAAAACATACTGAATAAAAAGTCCGGAGACTCATACAATTCAGTTTACAAATTATAAATACATACAAGAATAAAGAAATCAATACTTTTGGCAATCTTTTTTTTATATTAATTACTGATTATAATGAACTAAACAACTAATTTCAAACAATCGTGAAATAAAACATGTTCTAATTGTGCAATTAAAACGTTTAAAAAGTAAAATAAGTTGTTACCGTTTTCTAAATGTCATATGCAATTTTGTAATACACTTTCAAATTAATAAGTAGTCTTTTTTAAACCTAGTTAACATTTCTTTAAAAGTATATTTATATATAGATGATTATCCGAGAGATATGATACTCAAAATATACAATTTATGTTTACTTACAGAGTATAGTGTTATCATTTTACAGGTAGTATGAAATTTGATTTAATCTGATTAATTGGCATGACAAGAAATTAATTAATTACATCTTGGTCACATATGGTCATAATATTGAGTGAAAATATCTATAGATTTGAATTCAGGATTCGTGTGAAGTGGGGAATGGGAGACTGCCTGTAACGTTCTGTTCTCATTTTGGGGGTATTGAGCTGGAGAGAGTTGCGGAGAGTGCGTCGTGAGATAGTTTGTCTGGTTTCAGGTAAAAGATGGCGGTGGCGGTCTGAGATCAGAAGGGACTTAGCAAACTTTTCGCAAAGAACAGAGCGTCGTTCAGACAGTCTGACAACACTCAGCGACTGCAGAAGTTGAGCATAAGACATTGTGTCGGGAAATGTACCAGTGATAATACGCAATGCTCTCCTCTGCAGCCGCTCAATGCTGTTTACTTGGACAACAGTTAAACTAGATGACCAAACGGGTACACCAAATTCAAGACACGGACGAATGTACATCATGTATATCAATACCAAGTCCCGAGTGTTGACACCGTTCCTTTTCAGTTTACTCAGTACATATAGTTTGCGTGATGCGTTTTTGACGATGGTTTTGATGTGTAGGTCCCATTTAAGATTATCTTGGATTGTTATACCAAGTAATTTCATATAAGATACCACTTCAAGCTGATTACCATTAATCTCCAAATGGGGGGCAGGTGGGGCATTACGCAAGAATGAGATCAGCATGGTTTTGCACTTCGTTGGATTGGGCCTCATGTCGTTTATTTCACACCAATCAACAAGATAATCAATGTGTGTTTGTAACTGCGGAGGGTCCGATTTGTTGACAACCTCTAGAAGGCTTAGATCATCAACATATTTCCAGCGGTTTTCTGTAGACAACGCGGCATCATTAACCATTATCAGGAAAATAATGGGTCCTAGTTTAGTTCCCTGAGGAACACCACAAGTGAGGTGGGAAAGATTTGATGTTACCCCGCGATAACGAACAGTTTGCGTTCTTTGCGTCAGGAAACTACAGATAGTCGGGAGAATGGAGCGGTCAACTCCTATGTCAATCATTTTTCTGATTGCTGTAACATGGTTGATATGATCGAAAGCTTTACTGAAATCGATCATGCATAAGTTAACATACTTCCCAGGTCGGTCAATTCCCCGATGAGCATTATCCAAGAGACTGATTAAGTAATGGCAAATTGATGTTCCGGGCATGTTCCCAAACTGTTGGGGATCAATAGCATGGTGCACATCTTCAATAATCCAACGGGCAAGGAATCCCTCAAACACTCGTGCTAATACTGACGTGATAGAAATGGGCCTCAGTTGGTCAGGTGTCGTTGCAGGCCGGACCTTAGGCACTGGACACACTGATGCATTTTTCCAGATATGTGGGAAACATCCATTTTTTAAACAGCAGTTGAAAATGTGGGTGAGCGGCTCAGACAGCTCGTACGCAAATTCCTTGATGAGGCGTGTTGGGCAGTCGTTCGGGTGACCAGCCTTGGAGACATTGACTTTTTGTAGGCATTCAAAGACCTTTTGTCGCTCGATGATTGGAGGTGGTGTCGGCGCAGGGAGGTAATCCGGCAATGAAGCCAGGTCGAGAGATGGAAGGGCCGAGCAAATCCGGCTAAAATGAGCGTTTATCTCATTCGCAATCTCCAAATCGGATTTGTCGGCTGGAAAGCTGAGAGACTGTTTCTTAAGTCCTGCTAGGTGGCGAATTTGCTGGTGCCATTTCCCAGGTTCACTGTGTTTCAGATGTTCCACTTTCCTGCTATAGAGACTTTTCTTGGCAGAGCTGATTTCTCTTTGTACCTTATTTCTTACGCTACGAAATGAGTCATCACCTCGCGTATAGCTGATATTGCGCTGAGTAATGGCCCGGCGGATGGCATCATTCATCCATGGTTTATCGTTGGGACGTCGTTTGACTGTGATAAGATCAAAGTATTGCCGATATTTTGTGTCTAGAAGTTGGTGAAGATTTGCAGTCATTTTGTTTCCATCAGTGGATTCCTTATATTCTGACCAGTCCATCTGCGTGATCCATTGCCCAAAGGCGCGGATGGAGGAATCACGAAATGGTCGGAAGGATATTTTTGTAGTGCTACGTGGTGGAATAAGGAGCAGAGGAAAGTAAGTAATAACAGAGTGGTCACTTAAAGCAATGGGTGCTGAAATGACAGGCTCTTCATAACAATCCCCGAGATCTGTCAATAATTTGTCCAGGATGGATGTACCCCTGGTCGGTTCTTTTACTACTTGGGACAAGAGGGTGTGCTGTTCCAAATGATCTGTAGGAAGGTCATTGAAATCACCAAGGATTATGAAAGATGCATTCTCCGACAGGGTTCGAGCCCTATCAATCATCATTATGATGTGATCACTCAGTTGGTCTTTATGTGGAGACCGAGGTGGGGAGTAGAGTACACAAACATATATATCTCTTGATAGGCGGATAGTAGTAGATGATCGTAGACGAACCCACACGACCTCCAGATGTTCAGGTACATGTTCTTTGAAGATTTCATAACAGTTTATATTCTTGTCCACATAGAGAAGAACTCCACCACCTATTCGTTCGTTACGATCTTTGTGGAACTGTTTAAATGATGAAAGTTGATATGCAGAAGCCGGGTTGTCCTGGGAAAACCATGTTTCTGTGATAGCAATGAGGTGGGGAACATTTTGCATTGAACAAAGAGTGGCTTCAAACTCACCAAACTTGTTGGCTAAAGAGCGGGCATTAAAGAGCATCACAGCTGGTAGACACGACCTGGTGGTGGGTCGACATGTATCCCTGAGCACTGATTTATCAATCTTTCTAATTCGGGTATTGTTAAGCTGTTGCTGCTTTGTCCTATTTGTGATGATGACAGGGATGTTATAGGTCTTTCTTTGCTTTCTTCCCCTGTGTGTTTTCCGTTTCTTTGATGATCGGTAAATCGGTAAATACTTTCATCCTGATATGAGAGAGAGCCATCTAAATTTATAATGGGAGCATTATCCAATCACAGGAAAGAAGAGGCCATGCTCATGCTGCTGAAATATTCGAATAAGCTCGGAAAGAAGAGCATGGCAAAGAAAATGAAGAGAACGATGATAAAAAATGAGCATACAGATGTTAGATAAATATAAAAGTACCTTCTTTTACGCCTGATGGTAGCAACTAAGGCGACAAGAAGGAATACGGCAACTAGCAAGACCACAGGTGGAACAACGATCGAGGCTGTATTTCTTTTACCTGAAGTTAAATACAAATGATACATAAATATGATGATACGATTTGTTTCTTAGGAATATTATATAAGCTAAAGTATACGTCTGACATCTACCGTCGCCTTTAGCAAATCCGACTGCAACAACAACGCCTAAAAGGATGACAAGAATAAGAACGACTACGGCCGGAAACAATGCACCGAGATGACCTGCTGAAACTTGCAATTGAATTTTATATATGGTTTATACAGTATAGGGATGAAGTAAGAATTCGGGTGGTGAAAGAAACCGGTTGGTGATGGAAATCAACCCAAAGCGACTGTCGCAGGAGCTTGTGTCGTGCAACCCTGACATTCGATCATAATTCGTGCAATTATTTGCACAAATTTCGTACGTTCATGATTTTGCCCGATTAATGTGGTGACTTACCAGAGTTTGGTTGCAATGATCCATTGGTTGAGACGGTGCACAGTGGGCCAGGGGGGAACCAAAGTGCGCCAAAACTAAGTTTGAGTGATTTTTTTTCTTCATTTTTTTCTTGCCCAGTTGAAAGGTGATACATAGAGGAATACCTCAGTGAAATATTTAATTCCGTTATGCACAATAAGTGTATAAATTTACTACTTAAAACAGCAAAATCCTACATATTCACAGTTTTAGTGCAAAAGTGACTTATTTTATAAATATTTCAATTCAACATGAAGTTTTTAAGTTATTGATATGAAATTGCTCTCACATATTCCTGATAGTTCATTTCGTTCAATGAATGGGTTAAAATTAATAGAAACACAATCTTCATGATATATTATAGGGTAATTCACTGAAAAATGGACTAATTATCCATGTTTTTTATAAATCCAGAAGAAATGTTTAGATCTCCGCAGTGTACCGCTTAAATTTTAATACCACCATTTCCTCTGATGTCTAAGCTTTAAGTTGATACCAAATTTGGCTGCCCGATCTCGCCCGTTGTTATGTTAGAGCCGATTTTCCTTGCCACATTGCCCCGAAAAATGTGGGTTTTGGGGGTCCGCGGCTGAATCATGAAGGATTCGTGATCATAAATCACGGCGCGAGGGGGCGCGTGACACTTGTTCTGACACCGCAGACCAAAATAAACACATTTTCGGGGCAATGTTGCAAGGAAAACGGCTCTAACATAATAATGTGCAGAATCGGGCAGCCAAATCTGGTATCAACTTAAAGCTTAGACATCAGAGAAAATGTTGGTAATAAAATTTTAGCGAAAATCCCTGGAAATTCAAACATTTCCTCTGGATTTATAAAAAGAAAATCCCCAAACATGAGTTTTGGCGCACTTTGGTTCCTCCCTGGCCCACTGTGCGGTGGTCGTTGTATTTGCTAAATGAGTTGGAATATTAAGAGCGAACAAAAATATCATTATTTGCCTGCAATGAAATTCTAAACCGAATTTGATTTGTTCTGTATCAAAAAAATAACGTAAATAATTGCGAGGTGATACAATTTCATGATAGTTTCAGTTGAACAACAATGTGCAAAAATATCGAAATGGGTAGTGAACAAATCAAGTGGGTTTAATAGAGAAGCGTTTTTCAACTTTTTTTTTTAACGCGGCACTTTCAGAAATACAAAGTTTCGCGACACCCAAATCCTAAATTCATCATATAACAGAAATATTGCATCATTCTTGTACTCATCAAGTTCCATCTATACACGCAAGGATACATTTGTTTCTAAATTTTGTGAGAGGGAGCGAAGCAAGCGAGAAAGAATAACCACCCTTAATTGTAGTTAAAAATGGCATTTTTAAATCAAAACACATGCACTAGTTAAAATATAAAAGACGTTAGCGGGCACATAATTATCCCGTCATCTTGATACACGAATAGAAGGATATTCAATCATTTCCTTTCACAGGATGTTCCACAATTTTAACGGGTTTTGTTTTTTGTTTTTGGATAGGTTATATTTGCAATTCACATTGTCACAAAAGATAATCTCAAAATACATACATATTTTTTTTCTTCAATGATACAGAGACATGATTGAATGAAATAGAACATCTCATAAAATAACATTCAGTAAGATTTAAGTTATACTATACAATTACTATTCAATTTCTTCTCATGGAATTCAAAACGGTTGAGTTTAAATGATATTACGCGTTCTGTTTTTTCTAATTGTATTACAGAGCATAGGAAGGATTTAAATAAAGGAACGGTGTCTTGACATTTACATGAAAAGATAAAATATTTGCCATATAATATCATAGAGTTTACCAGATAAAAGTGTTCTCTAACTAATGTTCCAAAGCAAATTTCTATACATGATAATCTAATGAGTCGGATCTTTTTAGAAATCAGCCAACTGTGTAGATCATTCCAGAATCTTCAGACAAAGAGGCAATCAAAAAATAAATGAATTATTGTTTGTTCATTTTGATTAAAAAATGTACATATATTTTGATCAAAAATTCCGATTTAATACAAAAAGGAATTTGTAGCAATTTTCCTATGAATAAATTTGAATTGAAAATTTCTCAATTTGTTATCTACTGATGATTCATATATTAAATTAAAATGAGACCTCCATATTTCGTCATCCGATAAATGTAGTGACAGATCATTTTCCCATTTGAGTTGTTGATAGATATAGTATAACTACGTATAAAAGTAGTTTAACATAGTTTAGAAACTTTTTCGATCATCATGTGGTTAATCACTATAGAACTAAATGAATTCAATTTTAACGGGTTACAACTGCTCTGAACTCTGTTTCGTCAAAAGTATGCAGATAGGGTTAGGGTTGCAATTTAGTTTTGTGTTAGGTTTAAGTTTAGGTTTAGGATTAGGATTAAGTTTAAGCATCGTGTCGGCTTCAGGGCTGAAGTTAGAATTCGGCTGGTAAAGAAAATTACCCTAAGCGACTGTTGTAGGAGGTTATGTCATACAACATTTCATTATTTTGATTGCAATTCGTGCACATTTTTGCAAAAATGTACATGATTTTAGCCTGATAAAAGTGGTGACTTACCAAAGTTTGGTTGCGGTCTCTTGTTGCTTGTGACGGCCCTGGTAATTGGATTCACTGAATGAGTTGAAATATTAAGACCAAACAAAAAATATCATTGTTCGCCTGCATAGAAAAGATAAACTGAATTCTAATTTGTTCTGCATTTAAACAATAACGTTTAGAATTGCGAAGTGATACACTTACATGATAACATCATTTGAACAACAATGTACAACTAAAATGGCTAGTGAGAAAATCAGGTAGGTTAGAGCATTGGTTTTCGTGCTTTTTTAATCAGGACACCCATTTAAGGAATTCAAATTTGGTACTCATCGAGTAACATGTATACATGTAAGGGCACATTTTCTCTAAAATTTTGAGAGCGAGCGAAGCAAGCGAGAAAGAAAAACGACGGTTAAAACTGGTTATAAATGCTATTTTGTAATAGAAATACATGAACTAGATAAGATATAAATTACGTATACGGCCCCATGCTAGATAAGATATAAATTATGCGGGCTCATGAATCATATAATTTTCCGGACATCTTGATACGAGAATAGAAGGATATTCAGTCATTTCCTTTCGCAAGGTGATCCATCATTTGATTCGGCGGCAACTGCTCCGGGCTCTGTTTCGTCAAATATATACAGATAGGGTTAGGGTTGCAATTGAGTTTTGCATTCGGTTTAGGTTTAGGTTTAGGATTAGGATTGAGTTAAAGCATGGGCTTAAAAGTAAGAATTCGGGTTGTAAAGGGAATCACCCCGAATCGATTGCCGCACGAGCTTACAACCTTTTATTTGATCTAAAACATTCCGCATACTTATATTTTTCCCTGAATAATGCGGTGACTTACCAGAGGTTGGTTGCGGTGGTGTAATGGTTGTGACGGTGGTCGTTGGATTTTCTAAATGAGTTGAAATAATAAGAGCGAACACAAATATCATTATTTGCTTGCAATTAAATTCTAAACCGAATTTGTATTTGTTCTGTATAAAAAAAATAACGTATTGAATTGCGAGGTAATACAATTTCATGATAGTTTCAGTTGAACAAGAATGTACAGAAATATCGAAATGGCTAGTGAAAAAATCAGGTAGGTTCGAGCAGCAATTTTCAAACTTTTTTGATTTTCTGGATCCTTTTAAGAAATACAAAATGTCGTATTACTCCAACGTTTACATAAAGGTTTGGGATTGCAATTGAGTTTTGTTATAGGTTTAGGTTTCTGTTTTTGTTTCAGATTAGGATAAGGGAGTTCATGAATTTTGCCTGATTAAAGTGGTGACTTACCAGTGGTTGATTGCGATTGTCCAGTGGTTGTGACGGTGGTCATTGGATTCACTGAATGAGTTGAAATATTAAGACCAAACAAAAATGTCATTATTTGCAACAAATAGGCCTGAAAAAAAGCTAATCTGAATTGTAATTTGTACCGTATTTAAAGAGTAACGTTTAGCATTGCAAGGTGATACAATTACATGTGATAACATCAATTGAACAACAGCGAGCGATGAAGAAATTAAGATACTTTAATGACATGAAAATGTTTTTTCCTCAAAAAAATACATACCATTTTTCGCGAAATTGGCGTTATGTAGAAATGAATTATTAGATATCTTTATTTCTCTCGCGGCACCCCAAAACATACCATGCGGCACGCTGTGTTAAAAAAACGCTGAGTTATAGAAAACTATTACAAGCGGATACTGCAGAATGGGAATTTAGCTGGGAACAATGATAATAATGATAATAAAAATCTCCGTTTCCTTATAGCACTTTATACATTGAGTATGTCTCTATTGAAAGGTTTTACAGATATATTATTACCCCGGTTATCGGATTAAAGGACGCTAAATTAATGCAGGGCTAGGGTTCGAAACCTCAACCGTTTCATTGCGAGTCAAGTTAATGAACCCCTACATCACGACATCTCCACTTTGCTTTAACTTTTAATGGTAAGTGAATTGTGATGACTTATTCATCATGAGTTTCATTATTGAGGGCAATGTACAGCTGCCACCAACACCACTGTGACTGCCGATTTCTCACAATGTATCATGCCATAGTAAACCGTTTTTTTTTTGTAGTAACGTGGACAAAACAATACAAATACTAGCAAAAGCACTAATAACCATTAAGTTGTCAGTTACAATAAATGGGGAACATATGGGCTTAACAATACAACCTGTTCCGTTCGAAAGTATATCTCTCGTTACAGGTGCAGGTGAAATGATCCGGAAGTGTTCGTACTTGCAGAATTTGTGTAACAATTATGCATGCGGATTATAATTAATGAACACGGTCTCAACAAAGTCTCGTCCTTCGTTGATTCAATTATTTCGTATTTCTTTCTTCCTGTCTTTCTTTATTTCTTAATTCATTATATATATATTGGGTTAAGAAATGCCCATTAGATATCCTACGTTCTTTCTCTGGTCTCTATTATGCAGGTTTGTCTAAGTCTGTTTCTCTATTCTCTTTCTCATTTTCTATTCTTTCCATGGATCACCCTGTTGTCGATAGCACATTTTCCCTTGTGTCTCTCAGTCTCCCATGTCATCTTCCTCTTCTTGGTCCCCTTTCTTACTGGGTGCCTTACAACGCAGGGGTACTAATAATTGTAGGGCCAGCAGTAGACTACCCAGGGTAAATGAGACCAAAATATTGAATTGAGACGATCGTACAGCTTTTCGCAAGATCAACGTTAAGCAAGAGCGATAGCCTTGTCCCCCAACTTTTGAAATATGCGAACGTTGCAATGACGTATTCGTAATCCAAACACGATTTATATGGGATATTGGACATTGAAATTGTCCCTGGGTCGATTTTTCTAAAATAGTTGCGATCGCGTTAGGTACCGCGTGTGACTGTTTAAATGAAAGGCAACCTTTAACCGGGTACAACTTGTATTAAAAACTAGTAAAGTATTAGTTAGAGTGCAATATGGCACAAGTAGCTCACCAGAATTAAATCCAATTGATGGGACTTCAGCCAAAACAATCCTGATGTCCTCTTTGTCGAACTCTTTTGAAGCGTTTAAGTTCACCTGCGTTCGAAGTACATAAATTGCAGAGTAAGACAAACTTATTCGACATTGTTTTGCCACAGTTGTTCACATTTCGAGAGCGCCGATAAACGTACATCTGACTTTGAACACGATATCTTTTGAACATTTTGTTTTAAATGAACAAAATGTAAGAAAACAAATACCACTTTCAGTTTAAATCGAATAATTACAAATTAAATCGAAAATACATGGATATATTGTTAATTTGGAGAAATGTTATCAATGCACGATGATGAATTTTTTAATTATTGATTTCAAGAAAATGTTTTGTTCATTTTATCATAACATAATAATAATAAAAAAAAAATTACATGAAGTGTAATAATATTGAAGATTTTGTCATACGTTCATTACTATTAGGACTCCATCTGCATAATGATTGGCTTTATTGCAAAAAAAAGTAAGGAGGTGTAGGTCTTATCGTATTTTATTTCCTTTCCACCCCTTTTATTTCGTTTTATTTTAGTCCTTCTGCCAATGTTTTCTTGTTTTCACCGTTCGGTGGTGGTGGTGGTGGTGGGGGAAAACTGCAGGAGATCTTGAGTCCAACGTATTCATGTCAATGTAAACATTACCTGTAGTTTGCCGGGCATACGACTGCAAGACGCCCTCATGCTGGTGCGCTGATAATTGACATCAAATTCCCAGCAGATGACCTTGAATGAACGCTCGTTATCATCATCAAATGAAATCAGAACAATGTCATACGAGGAGTGTGTTGGACATGAGACTATTGTCGTGGGATCACTTTCTAGAAGAAAAGCAAAAATGAATCGAAAATTGATATTAGGTGTTTCTTCATATTGACTTTGTGAATGCACAATAGTTAGAAATTTCGCCAAAATAGGAGACATTTTCGGAGTTGTTCGGAACATTAAATGTTCGCAAAAAAAGAAGTTTATATGAGATAAAGAATTAATAGGATAAATGGTTTCTGATAGCATCCTTGTAGAGTACTCTTTATTGGTCTGATAATAATTTATATCTTACCCTGACTGGCTTGGTTCACCTGACATGAAGAATCCGACGCATTAGGGTCGATTTGTTCTGCGTACGGAGCAATATGAAGAAGAGGATTGAGCGTGATTTAATGTTTTATAATGGCAATAAGCTGTTCAATACAATAAATTGTACATAGTTTTGCTATGTACAGTTCTTAAGGCGTATCAGAACCATTTCTGTTGATGTACGCCATGCGATGGGAAACAATTCCGAAGTGGCATATGCATTAGTACGTCCCTACTGTACATAGCAGTGTTCGAAATTGTTTAATGGTATCCCTTCAACTCTGATCACACTATTCAATCCCTATACAGGGTAATTCATTCTGAGAATAAAAGAAAAATTATAATCAACCGGGATAAACAGAAAGTGGAACCTATACAATTTTATTTTTCGTCCGGGACTTTTAAAAAATCATCAAGAATTCTAAAGAAATTCAACAACACAAAATCTTAACAATTGTGTTAAACTTTGCCTTGCGCATGGTTTTGAGAAAATTAGGAGTGGGAAAGAAACACGTTCACACACAACTACACCTGCACCGATCCCCAACACACGAATTCTTTAACATTAAGTTTGGGACAGATCACGTTTTTGTCCTTCCACCCAATTTGTTACTCGGGGAGTACAATAATGAATTATTTTGAGTCGAAATGTGCATGTGTGTGTTTGTGTGTCATTTTTAAGGAGGGGGGGGGGCACAATTTCATTCCTTGATAAAAGAAATGATGTTCGTGTAGATGTTTTTTGACAATACCAAGGTGAATGTCACTGTTAAAAAAGTGGTGGAATATAATGAAATAAATATTTTTAAAAAGGCTACGCTTACCAATCACTTTGGCCGCCCGGGCACTTAGCATAAATCTCTTGTTCTGCATTACCGCGTTCGGATATTTCGCTTTGATTTCCAAAACATTGTTTTCTGACAGAAGAAAAATCGGATAATTGGACGGACGGGTGTTACTAGAGATTTTAATCTCCTCCTCATCAGGAAATACTGTAACGTCGATGCCGTTATCGATGTCCATTGGAGATACACGAAGAATAATTCGAAATTCGACTTGGCATACGAAGAAGAACCGTGCTATCCCATTGGCACTGGCTTTACATGTTATGCTGTCGTTGACATCCAGTGAAACGTTTTGGAAAACTAGAAGAGATGAGGAAGGGAAAGAAATGCGATTAATACACAATCAATATTAAAATTAAAGTATAGTGAATAGACTAAAATATGTTTTATGTTTATTCAAAAGTTGCTTTAAACAAATTAATGCTACGTAGGGTAAGTATGCAAAGTCACCATCCCAGGAACAAAAATGAATCTTTGCTTTTGATTGGCGACAGCTATCATTGGTTATTTTACACACATTTCTCGTGCCTCCAAAAGTCCCTCAAAACAGAGAAAATTCACGCAAACATGCAATCACACATACACGCACACACAAAAAACACCCACAACTAAAAAACATATCAGATATCAAAGAATAAGAGTTGTTCGTGATCATTTGAAAAATAATAAAACTACGCAAACATAGTAATAAAAATACACCCCCCCCCCCTCCCCCACAAAAAAAGGGTGCTGGAAGAAAAGGAGTATGATTAAAGAAAAACGACCCTAGTATGTCGAAGTGAAGAATGGTGTTTACCTCTCTCCGCTCTGCTTGATGACATACGGGATTGTCCAGGAGCATCAGCCGCCACTGTAAAGCTCCTGCTGTCATCATTACCAAGGTACTGACATTGCAGCATTCCTTGGTATAATATTAGAAAACATAAACATAAGCAAAGGGACAGCTCTGCGTGATAAAAGGGGCATTCAGACGCTCCAAATCTCTTAAATGAGCTGTAGCCATTCTATAAAAACATGTAGCTATATATATCAATAGAAAGCCTATGACCTCAAAAATTTGGAAAAAATAATTTCAGATTTTTGTTTTACTTTAATTGAGTCATAAAAGGTAGGAAAACGTGATTTTTTTATTATTCATTTTCTCGTCCAAATTAAACCTATAAAACACTGAAAAAATGTTACGTAGGCGATTGTAGCGTATTCCCCAAACATAAACAAAAGCTCGTAACCACATGGAGTCTATGGCTTTTACTGTATAAGTCTGTTACATGTTTTGATTATTTTCCATGTATATTCTTTGAATTATATAAAGATAAGCTTTACAAAAATATAGGATGATGTTGCTTATTACATGAAAGCTGACGAAAGAAATTGTACGAAAGAAATTAAAAGAATTCAATGAAAATGAACACAATTTGTAATTAATTT